GGTGGTAACGAGTATGCAGTGAGGACTGAGCACTATTTATTTCCTTCTTCTATAACTTATCAACCTGACATGTGGTAACGAGTATGCAGTGAGGACTGAGCACTATTTATTTCCCAGGAGGAAGAAAAAAATGCTAAAGTTTTCTGAGATACAACAAAAGCCGCATAGTAGAAGCTAAAATTTGTAAATCTGTTCTGCAAAAATTACCCACTCAAGGTAAGTCTGTTTTGATGCGTGACATATTTTTTGAAGTTACTTGTAGCGTTGATGTTTTTGGTCACTGCATACAGTGGTTATGTAATGATTTGTGCACCATAAAATGCATGGGACTTTAAGAATTTTTCCTTCCTGCGTTCTCGGACTGAAATTTTGGAGAAAGAAAAGATCGTTGGATTTTATGAGATACCGTAAAAACCTGCATATGAAAATCTAAAATTTAAAAGCCTGTTAGGCTAAAATTTCCCAGTTAAGTTCCCTTCGCATAAGAACCACTCCAAGCTAAAATTTTCAATACAAGCTCTAGTGATATAGCTTGCAACACCTGTCGGCAGTAAGAGGCGAATCGTTTGTAAGTGGGCAAGATGGGCCCATCTTGCCTGCTCGGGACTGCCCGCTTTGATCCCGTGCAAGAAAAAAAAAGGTGCTTGGAGCGGACTTACAAAGTTCGTGACTTTGATGTAATGTCACCGATGGAAACAGTCTAAACAAAAACATAAACGACCCATGGAGGTTTATTGTGGTACAAACATAGTTGGCTTTCTAGCCTTTCTAGCGGGATCTTTTTGCTCTAGAATATATTCTCTATTGACCAAGCTTGTTCAGGCAAGATGGCTTGTAATTAGTCTCGTCCTTTTTTTGCGTTTTTACGGACCTCGACTTCGTCTCTGTCCGTATTTGGATGGGATAATTCTAAAATTATCACCACTAATCGCCACCACCACCAGCGCCTTTGTTTGGAAGCTTTGCATATCAACTCCGTCTACGCTCCCTTAGATCGTGATGATGGTGGCTTGTTACCTGACGCCTATCTGACGCATCTCGTCAGAAGAAAGGGCAACTAATTAGGGAGCATGTATAGAGAGACCTCTTGTAGCAACGAATAGATCATTAGACAGGAGTGTCGAAACCTTGGGTCTATCAACTTCCCCGGTCACATTCATTCAGTAGTATTAAACTTTGTCCTATTGTCCACCCGGTTGCCTTTTGAACTTTAATATAAGCCTCATTTATTTTTAGAATAGAGAGTTTTTCAGTTTAATTATATTACTGTACATTACAGGGGATACAAATAGGGAAACGAAAGCCAGCCAGAACAGTGACAGTGTTTTAAGATCAGAATACTGCACTGTCAACGTTTGTTAATATATAAGGCATAAAAAAAAAAAACAAAGAAAAAGAAAATAATAGGAGTCATGGGTTCGAATCCCGTACAGGCCTGAATTTTTTCCACGCCTTATTTTCACTACTGCTTAAGTAGTGTTCATTTTGCGAAGGTCGCTCTCATACTCATTTCTTTAACCGCAGTTCACATATATGATTTCCATATATTCTCTCAAACGTTGACTCATCACCTCACGGGCTTATTACGAACCATCACAATTACCAGCTCCCAGTTGCCATGTAACCTCAGTTGGTAGAGCACTGAACCGGTATCGCAGAGGTCATTGGTTTGAGTCCCGTACAGGCCTGAATTTTTCTATTACTGCTTAAGTAGTGTTCGTTACTTCGAGGATTGCTCTCGTATTGTACTGTCAATGCATCTATACTTGTGCAACATATCCAACTGTGTGTATAAGTTAACAATGTCAAGTAGGGCACTTTAAGGCTGGTATACAGTGCAGTGTCACACCCACACCCATCAACAGAAGTTTCTTTTCTTTCAAACAAAAATTAAGAACCTGATTTAGAACCAATGTGGTCCAACTTCAGACTAAACACCATTTATATAAAAACCTGCAGAGCCAAACCTGAAAAAACGTAGGTTTTTATGTGCGGGTTTTTACTCCACTTATGACGTGTGAACAGGCATTGAATGGAGAATCACCAATGCCTGTGACAAAAAATGATAACTGTAATAATAATATGATTCCCGTGAATAATTATGATAAACAGTGAACTTGTAAGCGGCTATTTTAACTCAAAGAATGATGGCAAATTGGGAAGATCTCGTAGGCAGATCCAGGACATTTCCAAGAGGGAAGTCAAGACTTTGATTCAGAAAATGAAAAAACTCTTATTTGTACTCTTAAGCCTAGTAATGTGAGAAATATATCTACTGAACTACTTTTCTTCGGGTTCAGATTGTTTATCAAGTATTTTTCTTTTTTATCTTTCAGCCGTACGTGCCTACACTGCAGCTTTGAAAACTTCCATTATAGGCCAAACAGAGTTCCAACCCAAACTGCTGGCCTCTCGCACGATTTCCAACTTGCAAACGGATCAAATATTTACTAATCTTCTCATACAACATGGAAGAAAACCCCTCATATGAATTCGAACCGTACTATCGTTTCAAAAACCTTAGCCGGATATAGTATTTATGCTGTAGAAGAATATTTATTAGGTATGTCAAGAATACAGCTGTATGTATACACATGTAAATAGATACATGAACCGCTTAGAAGACAGACAAGCAATGTTCTTAGGCTTCAGAGGCAATAAAAATTGTCATTTAAACAATAATCAGAGTTTTTATTCTGAAGAAGGAATTGGTTTATTTCTTATCGACTTGGTAATGAGTCTTTCAGTCCAGCTGGAGACCGTTTTCTGGGAATTCCCCGGATAACTTCAAGGGCTCCAAGTCAAATTTTAAAATCTAAATCTCAGGAATAGTAGATCAGCTCTTACCTTAAAAAAAAAACAGTCCATTGTATCACCGTTCCCTATATTTCAATACTTGAATTTCAACGGGGCAAGCAAAATACACCTTATCAAGTTTGTTAACTACTGGAACTTCCCGAAAACGAGCCCCTCTTCCCGTCTTACTGAGGAAAACATTTTTAAGAGCTCTCCTACGTATGATGTAATGAGTTTTCTTTCCTTGTTTTCTGGAAACCTGATAGCAATACAGTAAATTTATACAAAAGTAAAAACATCGCTATAAACATTTCACCCGTTAATTATTTACTTCCCGAAAACTTCCTCCGGANTCAGACGTGTAATACAATCTCTGATACCGGTGTTGCATGTTTATGTGAAGCTTTACAGCATCCAAGCTGTAAGCTAACCACACTAATTCTGAATAAAAATGTTAGTATTAGTGAGTCAAGTAAAAAATTTCTTGGAGCCATATTAGAGAAAAACAGACCAGGTTTTTCATCTGATTTAAGAACATAGTTATGTGAAGCACTTTCTGTAAAAGTAGGTAGAAGCATCAAACTCTTCTACGCTGCCTACAAGATATTTAGCCAATTGGTTTTAATTGTATTAATATTAAGCTAACTTTTGATGTAGAGAAAGTTACGAAATTGTTGGAAACAAAATATTTTGAGTCATTAGTGATCATTGTATAACTTTATGATAAAAGACTGTCGTGAAAGCAGCTTGAAGCCTGAAAATGTCAATAGTTTCTGTGGACATGATAGTTTATTACTATAGGTACCCAAAATAATTCTTTTCAAGTTTTGGTCTTTTTTCTGGGTCAAAGAGAGCTACCAAGTACTTGAAGTATCATACATCACTGTGAGTAAGAAAAAACGCTCGTTGCAAATAGAACCGCGTTGAATAAAGATTTTGTTGATACATTACTCGCTCAGAATATATTGCTTCCTATACCTTTTGTTTGTGGGTGTAATTGCCTGAAACCCTTTACTCTTAAGATCTGATTGTAAATTCTCCCCTCTAGTTGCTACACATTTCCTTGTTAATTGAGAACATTTCCTTGAGAATTTGGTGTTGTATTCGTATTACTAGATGTTGAAGTGCCCCTGAGAGAGACGAAAATTGACCATTTTATTTTGGACGAATTTTTTTACAGAATGTTGAATTGGGTCAAGTTAGAACCCCTTTTTCCATTAAAAACTCAAAACAAACCTTCCATGACCGATTTTTACCGCATCAAAGTCGTCCAAAAATCGTCTGCCATTGCTGAAAATATGTTCCAGCCGAGCCCGCAGAAAACGGCGTCATGACGTGAAAGGCTTAACAAACTTATAATTCGCTCCGACGAAGGGCTAACGCTCGAAACGTCAGCTTT